TGCTCCCGGCGTTGTAGGCTGTTGTACTTCTGCACCTCCACTTCCACCACTCACCAAAGAGGACATGGAATTATTTAACATATCCTGCTGTAATTTTTCCTTCTCCTTCAGTTCGGAAACCTTAAGTTTTGATTCACTTAACTGTATGCCCAATTCTTCGAGTGTTATTTGAGCCTCTGACCATTGATGTCGTAGTCTTTCTAGTTCGGGTTTAACATGTCTAGTTGATTGTACTTCGGCATTAAGTTCCTTAATTTGAGTTTCTAGCATTATCACTTTCTCCTTTAGCTGTAATTCGTTTTCCTGTAACGCTATTCGGAGTTCGTGTTCTTTCTTTAGTTCGTTTTCGGCACGTGTTGCACGCTCTTCGGAAGCACTAACCTGAGTGGATAACGTTTGTGAGGTAGTCTTAAGAATTTCGCCTAAATTTACTTTATCGTTACTCCATCTAAAGAAATGGGAGAAAAGAGAAGAATTTGAAAAAAAAATTATTTTGTTTTGAATTAAAACTGTTACACACCATTAGAAAATATATATTTTAAGCAAGTAATTTTGAGTTTTGGCATAACTATTCGTGAGACAGTAAGAAAAAAAACGTTTTATTAGAAAAGTTATACGAATCATATGATATAATTATGGATTTTTGAATTTGTTAACAAATCTTTTATCTCTCGATTTTATTTTTTTAAGTATTTAAACACATTTTCAATGGATATCTGCTCTTTTGCAAGCAATGGTTAATGCAAGTCCACACAGAAATTTAAATCCGTATAACAATATCCTAACGGACCCGACCAGTTTGAGCCATTTTATCTTCAACCGTTTTACTGTCATAAAGGATTTTGTGTTTTTTTGACTATTTTACACATTTGCTCTGTTCCGGAATCTACAAGGATCGACTAGTTTTGCAATTTCTTTCCATACCATATTCATAGTATACAGGGTGATATGAAAAAACTGCAACCAACTTTAGACTACCGTCATTACCAAGCCACTCGTCCGACAGCTGTTAAAATTTTTCAATGACAGCTCATTATATTGTTTACAAGCGTAAAAATAAATTTTGGTGAGAATTTTTACAGAAAAAAAGTTATTCTTGATGGAATTCAAGCGTGATAGTGTGATTTTTTTATATTTGACTGGGTAGCTACAATTGGCTATCGTTAGAGCACTCCAGCATTTAAATGTGAATAAATCTTTTGTGCGTACCGTGATACTGGTAGCGTAGCCCGACGTCAAGGAAGTGGACGGAAGAAAACAGCAACATCAGCAGAAATTGTTCGAAAAGTAAAGAAGGGAGAAAAATGGCTCGTGAGCTGAACATATCACAATATTCCATTCGGCAAATATTGAAAAATGACCTTCGGGTCAAGCCATTGTAATTCCAAAAAGTGCAAGAACTTACACCGCAACCGGAAAAATATACTCAAAAGAGCTAAAGACTTGCTTCGCTTGGCCGAAAGTGGTGAACTGCCGAATTTAGTTTTCTCCGATGAGAAAACATTCGTTGTCCAGCAGTTTGTTGTTACTTACCAAAGAGGTCAGCTGAAGATGTGCACCTTCGGTTGAGCACCAGAACTCAAGCGCCGGCCATGGTGATGGTGTGGGCCGTCATAGAAGCCGCTCTACGCTCGTAGAATGCCGAATATTATCGCGAAAATATTCTGGAGGGTGTATTAAAATCTTGGGCACGCAAACATTTTTGCCGCGGTCATTGGACATTCCAATCGCACTTAGCACGCGCCACCCAAGAATGGTTACAAAATGAGGTTCCTCGCTTCATTTCCAGCGTACAATGGCCACTAAAATCTCCGGATACCAATCCGTTGGACTATTGTGTCTGGAGCATTTTGGAAAGCAAGGTTGGCACTAAAAATACCGAAGTGTTGATCGCATCAATCAAGCGATTCGCCGGGAATGTACCAAAATACCGCAGAGCAACATTCGGGCAACGTGTGATGGTTTCATTGGCCGTTTGAAGGCCATAATTCGTTCCATAGATGACCAATTCGAACAAATCTAAACTTATTCTAAAATTTGATGCTATTTCCGACATTTTTTGTTTTCATTCAATAACATTTAAGAAAAAATGTAAAAATTAGAGCGTTTGACCTTGTTGCAGTTTTTTATCTCACGCTGTATTGTCTTTGTCAATATTAAGATTTTAACCTTCCAGCGAGTCAGAAAAAAAATGGTATTTTCGTTCCTTATTTCAAAATACGGTTAAAAGCCTCCTTTAAACATGTTTAAAATATTTTCTTCAACATTATTTGTCAAGAAATCATGCTATAGGTCCCAGAATACGTCAATAGTCGAAACCTTACCTTAACGCCTGGAATTCGACGAATTCTTCTTTGTTCAAGACCAACAACACTACCGTATGCTTTGTTGGTGTATATTGGCGACAATGCTCATCAACGTATTTTTCTTTTTTCAGTCAGTGCATACTAATGCTAAATAAACTAACTCAAACGACCTCAAGGCACAAGTGAACCATATAGATGGAGATAAAAAATTTCCCCGCATGTCAGCATAGTAATGTGTTTTGTTGCAATACCATCGAAACCATCATATGCTCAGGTGAGTCAAGGATGTCTAAAGTGCTCGGAGAGTTTCACAAGAAGTTTGTCTTCATACTTTTGTCTTATGTGATAGCGTTTATGAGTACTCTTGTAGAAGTAGATTATTCTAATTGATTTTGTTTGGTAATTTCAGTGTGGGTGTGTGTGTGTAGCAAATAGGTTTTGATGTTGCTGTGGACTCGTTCTAAGAGCATACTCCATTTTTTATTTTCTGGCAGGAGTACTTCGTGTCAAATTCGAGTGGAGAATGAAGCTCGTATTTCAGAGCTCTGCCAATAGCATAAGAAAAATTCCCGACAGATCTGAAAAGGAGAATCACCGATCCACATTTTTTTTTTTGCAAAATACGCTTGGGCGCCAATGGATGACAATTTGCAGAATATCATAATATGAACTGCCAAAGCAACCAACCCCAAAACCAACACGGAGATGATATACAACTCGATTTTTGATCAACTTTTATATACGAATCGAAAACATGTAACGATTACACTTTGCAACACAAAAAATTAAAAAAGTTTTTTGTCATAGGACTTATCCCAGACAAAAAACAAGGAAACTGAATCGAAACCTAGATATTCCGTGCCTACCCCCTGGTAAACATTAACATCGTTCTCCACTAATAAACAAACGTTGTTAGCAAATTAAGCCTTACCATTTTGCAACAACAAAATACTATGGTATCCCGAACAAACAAGCCAACACTGTTCTATTTCTGAGGTGTATTTGATATATTTCCCTGAATATCGTTCTTGCGGAGGAACAAATATAGACTCAATTCGATCCCAAATTCCTTCCCATTTGGGCTTTTGATTTCGATAAAATTTAATAAAGGTATTTCTGAGCTCTATTGGATATATTTCCCCAAGTATTGCTGTTGCAGAGTGCATAATACAGCTGCGGATAACAAAAATAACAAATCGGGTGAACAATATATATGGGAGCTATGGCTATATCTGAACCGATTTCGATCAAATTTGGCATAATTATTTTCAGTCCTAATTTGGTCGTATATGCAAAATACCATACTATTTGGGCTAATATTACACCTTTGGTGCACAAAAAGGCAAATCGGACGAAGATATATATGGGAGCTATATCTAAATTTTTTACCGACAATAGGGTTCGTCCTTGGGCTAAACAAATGATTTATGAAAATTTTCATCTAGATCGGACAAATAAATGCGACCTGTACTTTGTTTACATGGACAGACGGACGGACATGAATAAATCGGAGATCATCAAGAGGAACTATGGGCCTATCTCATTTCCTTTTGCCTGTTACAAATAAATGCACACAGACATAATACCCTGACCACCTTGTGATGTGGGGTGTAATGATACCATTTTTGAAGTTTAATACCATTTTAAAAACTTTTTTTAACCTTAAAAAAAGTTTAAATTCTAGCTCATTCGGGTTTTCCAAGGCAGAAAAATACACATACATAGAAATACAACAACGGTAAAACAAAAACTCAAAGCGTGCTGGGCAAGAGCAGAGTCTACTCGGTTTAACCCACTGTCACCAAAATAATAGTTAAGCCAAAACACCAAAACCCAGAACCAGAGAAAGAATACATCAACACTTACTTTTGTTCTAATGTGGCTATCGTTGTGGCCATGTACTCTTTTTGTGACTCTAATTTTTTCAACACCTCCGTCTTGTGTTTCAGTGATGACTCACATTCCTGGCGAATATAAAGAAAGAAATCATACACTTCATATTTTTTATACATTTTCTTTTTATTAGATATTTTTAAAAATTATAGTTATGTTGTTAATAAATTTTGTAAAGAAATTAGTAAAATTAATTAACTAAAAAATATATGTTATAGAAAAAAAAAACATTCGTTTATAGTTCATAACATTCCAACTCCATCATTTGTTGTGGGTTTTATATGACCTTTTGAGATTCTAGTTTAAAAATGATTTAAAAATAAAACAATGCAAACCTAAATACAATGCATTTAATTAATGTTTAATAATATATATATGTATGAAGTAAATATGTAAATGAGTGGGTGTTGGGTTATAAGTATGCATTTATGTATGTATGTTTATAAGTTAGTTGAAGCATGGTACAAGTTAAAGCTTTCCTTTAATTATTGTTTTCAACTTTTCTTGTTTTTGTTTTTTAAATTACCAAAATAATTAAGTTACTAAATATTTTGTTACTTTTCTTCATCTTTTTTTTTTTTTTTTTGTTATTGAATATAATTTAAGTTGAAAATCTACTTTTTGGATAATCAATATAATATCTTTCAACACAGATAGATAATATAGTATTCATAATATATAGTTGTTCGACCAATATTTTCTACATATATTTTTTCTTTCAACATTTTACTAACGATAAGTTAATATTTCTTTTTTGCTTTTGTTTGTTTGTATTGTTACTTTAGTTTCTTTCGACTGACGTTTTTAATTTTTTTTTGTTACAACATCTAGGATTTCTTTTTTTCATGGGATACAAGTCCTAGGTACCACATACCATTAGCCATACCATTAGTGTATAGAATTACTATTCGAAATATTATAGTTGTAATTCAAAACAAGTTCACTTTGCTGGGGATCGGAATCCCAAGAAGAAAACTCACAGACAACGTATTGAATTTGAACTCACAATATCTTATATATTCCTTTATTTCAAAATGAGAAATGTTATTTTGAAAATTTGAAAAAAATTGAAATTAAATAAATTGGTCTGTTCCAGAACCTGCAAGAATCTACTAGTTTGAATTTTTTTTCAAGGCCAGAGCAAATATTGAAAGTAAACAAATTTGATTATTTCGAAGATTTTCTTTTAATTGAACGAAATATAGTTTTAATCCAATATACAGGGTAAGATGAAAAAACGGTAACCAACTTCAGACTGCTGTCATTTCTAAGACACTCGTCCGACAGCTGTTAAAATTACAGCTCATCATATTGTTTACAAGCGTACAGAAGCATTTTGGTGAGCATTTTCCAAAAAAAAGTTATTCGTGATATAATTCAAGTGTGATAGTGTGATTTCTTTATATTTGGCTGGAAAACCACAAGTGGCTATCGTTAGAGCACTCCAGCATTTAAATGTGAATAAATCTTTTGTGTCTCGTACCATCGCTCGTTACCGTGATACTGGTAGCGTAGCCCGACGTCAAGGTAGTGGATGGAAGAAAACAGCAACATTAGCAGAAATGGTTCGAAAATTAAAGAAGCGACTTGATCTAAACCCCCGTAACAGTGGCCGAAAATTGGCTCGTGAGCCGAACATATCGCAATATTCCATTCGGCAAATATTGAAAAATGAGCTCGGGGTAAAGCCATTGAAATTCCAAAAAATGAAAGAACTTATACCGCAACATAAAGAAAGTAGATTCAAAAGAGCTAAAGAGTTGCTTCGTTTGGCCGAAAGTGAAGAACTGCCGAATTTGGTTTTCTCCGATGAGAAAACATTCGTTAGACCAAAATCCCCGGATACCAATCCGTTGGACTATTGTGTCTGGAGTAGTTTGGAAAGCAAGGTTGGCACTAAAAAATACCAAAGTGTCGATCACCTTGCAGAGCAACATTCGGGCAGCGTGTGACGGTTTCATTGACCTTAATTCGTGCCAAAGGTGACCAATTCGAACAAATCTAAACTAATTATAAAATGTAATGCTATTTCAGACTTTTTTTGCTTTCATTCAATAAAATTGAAAAAAAAATTAAAAATTATGGCGTTTGACTTTTTTTGCAGCTTTTTTTATCGCACCCTGTATACATATTTTAGACCTCTTTTTTATATTTTTTTTTTATTCATACAAGATTTATTTAAAAAAATAACTGAAATCTTGTTTCAAAAAGCAATATAAAATGAATATAAATGTTAAGAGGTTTCCGTTGAAATAGACAGATTTTCATTCAAACCCGGTTGTATCAACTAGAAATTTTGACAGCAAAAATATAATGTTTTGAGTTAGCATTGAAATGCTTTATAAACCTCAAGACAAACAAAAGGTTTAAATTGCACCTAAAATATTTCGAAATAGTGTTGTTATACTATCGTTTATATAATTTATATATTATTTAATTTTTTTTTTCATAACATTTTAGTTTTTTTTTTTATTTAAAGGCATAATTTACTTGTGTTTATAATATAATATATTTAATAAATTAAATATTTTTCTTTATAATACATCTAATTGTCTTGCTTTATTTTAAGAAATATTTTACAAATTAATTTTTGTTTTTCAAATGAGAAATATCATAGAAATTAAATTTTAATACCATAATTAAGTAAATGTAGAGTAAGATTTTTGTAGAGAACTTTGAAAAAAAGAAAAAGTTGGTTCGACTCCCTTCTTTCTCACAAAACTTTCTCCCATTTCCAAACTTACTCATCCGAAGAATTTTCTTGGTGTGGCTTAGAGTTAAGCAAAAATAAAACAATATTATGAAATGTAGGAGAATAGAGCAAATTTATTTTTAAAAGATCTCAAGAGAAATATTAAATTTTGGCAATGACTAGAGTGCGTTCCAAAGAGAAACGATAAATGATAAACCCGATAAGCAGTATAGAAGTTCTACTTTAAGAGAGAGGTTTGAAAGGGTTTATTCTAAAAATAACATAGGCTACTATATATAATTTAACAGGTAGTATTTTAATTGAGTTGTGAAACAGATCTTAGATCACCTTATCTGCCCATACCAGATAATGGTTAAAATATAAGCCAGTAAAAGAGATTCAGAACGCTTTGAAAATGTATTGACTAACTCAAATTGTGCAAAAGTCTCATCGGAATTAAGATACTGGTAATGTATAGGATATGTGGCAGTACCAACGTTTGCTGGAATGCATAACATTAATCCCGACTTGTAAAAGTCCATCGATAGCAAATAATAATGTATCTACGGAAAACATAATAAATACAGGGTGAGATGAAAAACTGCAGCCAACTTCAGACTGCATTTGTTGCCCAGCAGTTTGTAAACAAACAAAATGATCGTGTTTACTTGCCAAAGAGGTCAGCTGAAAATGTGCACCTTCGGTTGACCACAAGAACTCAAGCGCCGGCCATGGTGATGGTGTGGACCGCCATAACAGCCGATGGTCGCTCTCCGCTCGTATTAATCGACCGTAGCATCAGAATAAATGCCGGATATTATAGCGAAAATACCCTGGAGGGTGTATTAAAGCCCTGGGCACGCAATCAATTTGCCCGCGACCTTGGACATTCCAACAAGACTCATCACCATCCCAATAAGCACGGTCCACCCAAGAATGGTTACAAAATGAGGTTCCTCGCTTTATTTCCAGCGCACAATGGCCACCAAAATCTCCGGATACCAATCCGTTGGACTATTGTGTCTGTAGTATTTTGGAAAGCAAGGTTGGCACTAAAAAATACTAAAGTGTTTATCACTTCAAGCAATCGCTTCGCCGGGAATGGGCCAAAATACCGCAGAGCGAGATTCGGACAGCGTGTAACGGTTTCATTGGCCCTTTGAAGGCCATAATTCGAACAAATCTTAACTTGTTTTAAAATTTGATGCTATTTCCGACAGTTTTTGCTTTCATTCAATAAAATTTAAAAAAAATGGAAAAATATGGCGTTTGATTTTGAGCCTACTCTTCAAGCACTCCCTCTCGTGAATATGTTTAACTCTCGAGTAGAATCTGGTGGTAGCGCTAATTACAAAATCCAAGAATAAATTTTGAAACAATTCCCGGAAAAAATTTAACTCCCCGAATAACGGGGAGATATCGTAGTATAGGGGATAAGGAAATACAACCACACCGAATATCACGGAAGCAACGTAATATGGGCATAATACGAATACGTGGAGTGCGAAAGCGTAGACCGAAATGGGGTATTTTTCAATCCCATAAAAATGTCACGGCCAGCTACGTCGTAATGAAAAACTCTCCATACTATGTGGGATAGAGGATATAAACGAGCGATATTTTGCAATTCTTACAAAATATAGAATGTATATCAACCAGCGTTCGAAAATAAACAGTATGGTACTGTACCGTAGTGTTCTGTACCGTTCCTAGGTGGAGTGGTACATTAAGATAATGTACCGTACCGGAGCACAACCATTTAAAAATATTTTAGTGATACTGTACCGGAGCACAACAAGAATCGTACTGTACCGCAGTCGGAGCACTAAAAAACGTAGTGTTCCGCAGTCGGAGCACTACGAAATCGTAGTGTTCCGCAGTCGGAGCACTACAAAATCGTAGTGTACCGCATGGCGGAATGTGTTGTTTACGATTTGTGAGAAAAATTAGATGTTTTATGTTTTTGATAATGCAAAAATTACTATCATAATTCAATATTATGAAAATAAAAGCTGGATTTATTTTATTTGTCATGTATGTTTAGATTGGTTGCAAGATTGAAGAAAGTAGAAAAATATGGGAATAGGTAGAAAGAATAAAAAAGGACCAAATCTGAAGTCATAATAATTTGTATTTAACCATTCAAAATTGAAATTTTCCGCGAAAAAGGGTATTTTAGTGGTTGCATTGCAATGGGTTATTATGCAAATAATTTACCTGCTATTTTGTGGTACCGAAAAATGAATGAGTGTTGGTGTAAAAAACTAAATATTTTATAGTGTATGGCTGAGTGTTTAAAATCAGTTTTATGATTTCGATTTTTTAATGTGGTCATGTGCTACACTACGATTTTTTAATGTTCCGATTGCGGAACACTACGTTTTTTTAGTGCTCCGACTCCGGTACACTACGATTTTTTAGTGTTCCGACTGCGGTACACTACGATTTTTAGCGCTCCGACTGCGGTACACTACGATCATCGTTGAGTTCCGGTACAGTATCACTAAAATATTTTTTAGTGGTAGTGTACCGGAACACTACCGCTAAATTTTTTTTTAGTGATACTGTACCGGTACAGTACACTATGTTAGTGTACTGTTTATTTTCGAACGCTGATATCAACCAACTTTTTTTTGTAAAAATTAGTTTACACATTATGTTGGTGTCATATGTAACGTTACTTGTTCCACGTTTATATCTAGCATTTTTATTGCATACTTTGAGGTTCTTCTCAGAATTTTTATACTAAGAAGAAACTATTTAAAATACAGCATAAATCAATTTATTCAATATATAATTTAAGTGTACATATATTACATACTATTGTGTAGTATTAGTTTTTATAATATAACGATCCTTTGAGGTTTAAAAATTGTCGGAGGAACAGCTCAAAAGTATGTTTTACAAGTACTAAATATAAAATGTAGAAAAGTTCACTTTATGTATGACTCTTACATGATGCGTAGATTGACGTTACATGCGTATTGAACTCACTCTTGCATATTTAAGATAATTATCAAGTTATAAAATTAGCGAATTTGAATCCCCTTTCATCTTAAAAACTAATGTTTACAATTCGAAAACAATAGTAATATGGAAAATCTTTAAATAAAATATACCAATACATTTCAATTTCTATTATAAATATAATATATACTAAATGCAATAAAACTTTTTATAATCTAACAAAATTTTCAACTTCTAAAAGAAGATAAACAGAGGCAGAGATACAAACAATTTTCCTTAATTAACAGCCGTTGCTGGTGGAGGAGTTGGTGTCGCCTTCTTTTCTTCAGATTCATAAAATCCACTTATCGCTGCAGTCGCGGTGTTGTTATTGGGCAATGAAGCTGCCGTTAGCATTTCTGAATCTGAATTTTTATTATGCACATTATTTTCAGCCACTGTGGCACTGTCGGTACCCTCATCCATGCACAGCTTAAGCGATTTAGCTGACATTGGAGTCTTTACTTCCGGTATAGATTCATGGAATTTCTCGGATGTGGCCGAGGGGGATTTACGATAATTGTTAGGATTAAATGGCGGTATACCATCCATTTTCAAATGTAAACGTTTCATAGGTGGTCCAATGTCTTGTTTATGTTTTTTGGTTAATGCTTCGAAGATTTGTAGATTCTGTTGCCGGCGACTGGTGGGTGATTTTTCCGCTGGATTTCCCGTTGCCGACGACGACGAGCCCATCATTGAGGTGTCCATTTTGCTTTCGTATTTCTTTTCTAGCGATTGTAGAATGTTGCCAATTTGCGAGGCTTTGTTTTGCAGACGAGCTACCATTTCGCCCTTCTGCGTGAGTTCATCTTCACATTCCTGTTTCAGCGTCCAACGGCAGGAGCAGTGGGAGTATTGTTGGTTAGGTAATGTTTGTTTTGATTCAATTTATTTATCAAAATATGATGATGGATGTAGGATATGAAATAGTTGAGGAGGAGTTTTACAAAGAGAAAACTTATAAATGTAGCTGCCAGTTTGAAACAAAAATTCTGTAAGCCATAATTACAAATTCAAATTGAATTTGAACACAAGAATAATTAAAAACAAAAATTAATTTCGAAATAAATAATGAGCGGGGTTAATGAGTAATGTTTCTCTTTTTGAGTATTTTTTTTATCTTTTTTCGTCGATGTTCGTTTGATGATTATGATTTGATGATGGTTCTGATTGATGAGAATGAATCGAATGCATCGCATGCTTACTTAACAATGTTGAGCGGGGCAGAGAACTAGCGAGTGTTTTCAATTTGCCTCGTCACCACTTCATTGCCATTGTTTAGTTAGTTAGTATTTTAATTTTGGAATGTTTACCAACCTGTAATTTACGATACATTTCCAAATTGATTTGTTTTATTTCATCCAGCTGCAGTCGCAGAGATACAATGGTATCCTGCTTCTCATGTATATCCTTTTCCAAGAGTTTCATGGCCATATCGGATTCAGCCTTTAAAGCTATTTGTAATTTTAATTCTTTCTCCAGTTCCATGGTTTTCTTCTTTTCCTTGTCCAATTCGGTTTTTAGTGATTCGACAGCATTTTTGTCATTATCTTTGGAATTGTTGGAGCTGTTGTCACTTTGATTGGAATTAAGAGATGGGGGTCCGACATCTTAGAGAATTTTGGGATTTTTTAATGATAATATTTCTTTTGATAATAAGGGGTATAATATTCAGTAACATACTTGCAATAGAATTTTGCCTCATAGCCTGATTTTCGGCTTGTAATGCTAACAAACTGTTTCGGGCTATAGCCAAATCCTCTTTCATCAAAGCATTTGTGGTGGTCAAAGATTCAACTTTGGCCTGCAAATTTGCAACCGTTGCGCTGCATGGATTTGAAGTTTATTTTGATTTAAGTTTTTAAATTTGAAACCAAAGAGAGGTAGAGAGAGGGAGGCGAAGGGACTAGGATACATAAACTAGATAAAAATGGTATATTATGTATAGGACCAAGGCCAATTTTCTATAAAATTTTTTCTATAAAAGATATATAGTCCTACAGATGCCTTCTATTTTTAGGGCATCAAGTGTAAAGAAGTCTTTTTTGCACGGAAGACCAACAGAAGATGGTCTTACATCCACATTGGCTTGTTTTAATCGCGAGTGGTGAGTATGTTTTACTCGCGAGCGGGAGTTCTAAATGAGAAGGAGTTTTAGCAAAGTCTACTCTCCACTCTTTTGTTTCATGTGAGAGCGCTGACTGAAAAATAAGAATGCGAGTCAAAATGCTCGAAATGGTGTTTACTCTGCGAGTAAAATAAAGAATTAATTTTTTGCTCATTTATGTGATCGTGTGTAGTAAACAGATTTTAATGTCGGCAGTTGTAGATTATGATAGAGAGGATTTTACTCTCACTCGCTTTTATTCGCGTGGCATAGAAAAATAGAGAACACACAGTTTTTTTCTCGCGGTAGTAATCCTCTTGTATGTCTTTATAACTCACAGAAGCTCTTCTTTATGTAGAAGACCCACTGAAACTCTTCTATGTATTGAGGACCCGCAAAAGTCCTTTTCTGTGTAGAAGACCCACAGAAGTCCTTCTATGTACTGAAGGCAAATAGAAACTCATCTATGTATAAAAGACCCACAGAAGCTTTTCTATGCATAAAGGGCATACTGAAGGTCTATTATATATAAAGAGGACCCACAGAAGCTCTTCTATGTATGGGAGATCGACAAAAACTCTTCTCTGTGCAGAACACCCACAGAAGCGGTTCCATGTATAGAAGACCCACAGAGTCTTCTATGTATTGAGGAATCACAAAAGTCCTTCTCTGTATAGAAGACCCACAGAAGTCCTTCTATGTACAGAAGATAAACGGAAACTCTTCAATGTATAGAAGACCCACAGAAGGTCTATTATGTATAGAAGACCCACGGAAGCTCTTCTATGTATAGAAGAGCGACAAAGGCTCCTCTCTGTGTAGAACACCCACAGAAGCTCTTCTATGTGTAGAAAACACACACAAAAGCTCTTCTGTATATAGAGGATCCACAGAAACTCTTCTACGTGTAGAATACCTGTAGAAGGCCTTCTATCTATTTTCAAATGTCGTTGATCCTTTTACATACTCCACTCTGTTTTTCCCTCTCCATCCCCTCTCTGGCGAAAATATAAATGACACTCACTTTAAATGACGATTTAGTTCCTCAATATAATTCTTTTGATCTAAAACCGCAATCATGTTACCCTGACCATTGGCGTCCATATTTGTTTGTTGTTGTTGCTGCTGTTGATTTTCTTCTTCAATGTCATTATTGCGAGAACTTGAACGAAGATACAATGAGAAATCAATGACACCTTGCTGAGAATCTAAATCCTCTTCTTTAACGCAAAGATTGCAATCGATGACGTTTAAGCCCACCAAAATGCCCATAATTATAACAATCTGAAATAGAGGTATTTATCAGGCAACAATAAAAATTCATAGTAAAGGCGTTACCGTACCTCATCGCTCATCATTAAAGCATGTGGTTCATAGTAATCATAAAGGGCATCCTCACGATGCTCGATCAGAGCCTGCAAATAATCGGCCAACTTTTTTTGCATTAACGCTATACGCAACCAGGCCCGGGCACGACCGATGTGAGTGCGAACGGTGGGTAAGTCGCGCACACTAGCCGTTATATCTTGGGCCTCGGGACAATACGTTTCGACACACTGCAACAGATCCCACAATTCTTTGCGTGGACCCAATAAACCCTATAATTGTTGATGTTGTATTTATGTTAGTGTAGTACTCTGAAATATTTTTTCTTCTTATTTTTTATACCTTTTTTGTTCGCAACCCATGACCCAGTACATGTTCAATAACAATGAAAAAATGTTGCAATGGCAAATGATCCGAGTCCAACATACGACCATAACGCACCGATTGTTCTAGCAATTCTTTGACTACCAATTTACAGATATTTACCAAATTACTGCGCTCGATTTCGGCTGGATCGCGTGCTGAAAATACCAATTGTTCACAAGAGATGGCAAAATGGATAATGAGTAAAAATGCTTTGAATACAATAGATACGAAGATCAGTTCCCTTGGAAATGCAAGACAAATCAGGAATAACCCTATATCGAATCGATTTTTGAGAGTAGTGTGGATTATAACGTAACGTTACCAATTTTTTTCAAAAAAATGTATAGGAAGAATTCCCAAAAAAAGCAAAAAACACTTGGAAAACTCAAAAAAATTACCTCTTCCAAATGAGAAGACCACCAAGTCTTCTGTAAAAAGACACTTTTTTTAACAAAGATCTTCGATTGAAAAAGCATTCTTAGAAAATTCCGACATTAAAAATAACTTGGGTACCGTTATATGGGGGCTATACGAAAACGTTGACCTGCACAGACAAATTTCTGTCATAGGCTGTAGTACCCATAACGAACTTCGAATACCACATATAAAGTAATTCCGGTAAAAAAAGGCTCTAAAATCATAAAAATACCGAATATCGGGAGGTAACTTTATATGGGGGCTATACGAAAACGTGAACCTACATGGCCCATTTTCTGTCTTAGACTGTATTACCCATTACGAACTTCAAATACCAAATTTGAAACAATTCTGGTAAATAATTTCGCTAAAATCATCAAAATACCGCATATCGGAAGGTACCGTTATATGGGGGCTATACGAAGACGTGGACGTACATGGCCCATTTTCAATACCAAATGTATAAAATGTATATTTCGAGATGTTACGAACGAAAAGATAAATTTAATATACCCTCCATACTATGGTGGAGGGTATAAAAAATAATATTTGTTCTGTTCCAAGAATCTACTAGTTTTGTAATTTTCTTCGATATCATAAAGGGAAAATCCGTCATCGTAGTAAACACTTTAAAATTCTCAGAGTTCTAGAACAGACCAATTATTAATAGTGCTTCCTTTCCGTTTGTCCAATGTTTGCTATCTTCAAAACTAAGAATTACATTTCGAACCCCCCAATTTTAAATCAACGTAAAAGTTCGTCTTGCTTTCCCTTAAGGAACTGATGACAATATTTCCCTAAAAATAAGTCCCTCCCATTAATTTACAACCATTCAAAATTCATATTATTCTTCTTCTTCGTTGCAAATGAAATTAGAAAAAGTCAAAACAGAAAAATAAAAATAATATTTTCTTGGAAACACACACAGAATTGGAAAAAAATTAAATTATGAAAAATATTTTCAAATGTACATTAATATTTATGACAATAGCTTCCTCTTGTTCCGATCTCTACGACTGGAATGTCAAAACTGTGGAAAATGAAAAGCCAATTATTCAAAATGGAGCTGCTGCCGAAAGCGATACAGATTTTGGTGATGAATTTAAAGTGCAAACGGCATTAAATAAAGAAATGCAACGGGACCTTTTGAAAATTTCGGGTAGAGCAAATGATAAGTACATTATTAGCAAGGACGAGAATTACAATAATGAAAATAAATATCCTGTGAATTATGGTGATAAAATTGATTTGTTAGATGGATTTAAATACGAGAATGCTGTGCATAATAACAATGTTAATGGCAAGGAGGCGGCAGATATACAAATTGTTACAAAACCTAAAGAGCAGGATAATAAAGAAGAAAATAGGCAGGATGATTATTTTTCAACAGCTGCTTTGTCTACTGAAGGATTTCGTAATAACCGCAGAGAACAAAAACAACATTTAGAGCAATATATACATAAAAATGATGGTGTTGGCAATAATTCGAATCGGAAACTCGATGATAATTCTGCAAGAGATTTTTATAACAGTCAAAGAGAAATTAGCAAACCTACAACTCCCAAGAAGAATAGAGGCATTTTTCCTAAATACGAAGACAATAATGCATTTAATCGAAACGTTTATGAAAATCCCTATGCACAGTGGAATGACAATTTTGATTTAAATGAGAACAATGCAAAGAAAAATAACGAAGCTGCAAAACAAGATAATGGTTTAAATGAAAATCACAATCAATTTGAAAATGTAATCAATTCCGGCATGAACCATAAGGAAGATAAAAACTGTCGAGTAATGGAAGATTTGGAAATAGAAGATTTCCTGGGATCAAATCTATTTGGAAACTCTCCAAAGAAATGCTTCTTTGCTGAGGATATACAAATGCTGATAATTCGCAGAGATTTTGAGGTAAGTTTGTAATTTGTAATAATTCTAAAGTCGTATGTGCATTGAGTATGATAAATTTTATAAGTCGTCGTTTCTGACAGAGAACTACTACTAAAAAAAACTACACCTATATTGACTATGTTTTTCCACCATAAATATGGAATTACAAAAAAATTCTCTAAAGAAACTTGGCTAATGTCAAATTACCGTATATCGGAGGTACAGCTAAAAAATTAATTAAGAAATGTTTCATAAAAATACAGGATGTCGAGATGTGCAATAATATGATAGATATGGGAAAACCTTACAATACAATACGGACAATGTTACGCCATAGGAGACAAAACTCATAACGAAATCTAAAGACGGAATTTCAAACAATTCCCTTGAACAATCTGACTAAAATCATCAAAATACCTAATATTGAAAGGTACCGTAATATGGAGGCTACACGAAGACGTATAAGCAATTTTCTGTCATAGAAAGTGATACCCATTGCGAACTCCAAATACGAAATTTAAGAAAATTTCATTGAAAAATGTGATACAAATCATCAAAATAGTATAGTTATATGGGGGCCGTGTGAAAACGTAAACCTGTGTAGATGCTTTTCTATCAGAGAATATGGACCACTAATCACCAACTTTAAAATAATTCCGTTGAATAATGTTTTTTTTTAAATCATGGAAATACCAATGAAACGAAATACCTAATCTTGGCCTACATAAGGTCAGCGCACCTAATCTTGGCCTACATAAGGTCAGCGCACCTAATATATACCTCTGAGTAAAATTTTATCAATCTACTTTATTTCGTTCGGAAGCTAAATTGATTTCCACAGATAGCGGACGGTCACGGTTAAATTTTATGCCGATCAAGTCCATGTGGGTTTCAAATGGACAGTTCGCAATTAAAACTTAATATATCCTCCACATTTGTTTTTGTTTTTATACCCTACACCACATACTGGTAAGGGTATTATTTCTTTATGCATTTATTGGCAAAATGGAGAAGGAAGCGAGATAGACCCATAGTTACTTTTGAGGATATTCATAGAGTCACTTTCTGAGTCGATTTATGCATGTCAGTCCGTCCGTCCGTCCATGTATTCTTGTGAATAAAAAGGTAGGTCGCATTTATTATCCGATTGAGATGAAATTTTGCAAACAACATTTGTTTAGCCCAAGGGCGAACCCTATTTAAATTGGTGGTAATCGGATCAGATTTAGACATAGCTCCCATATATATCTTCAACCGATTTCGGGTTTATTGTGCACCAAATGGTCAATATAAGTCCAAATGACTTGAATTTTGGCACATCCGACCGAATTCAGTCTGGAAGCAAGTTCATCAAATTTGGAGAAAATCGGTTCAGATATAGCTATAGCTCCCATATATATGTTTCATCCGATTTGGTGTTTAAGGTCCTCACATTCGTAATATGCATTCGACAACAATGATAACAGATACAGCCCAGACATACCTCTTCCAAATATTATCGAAATCCCACATATATCTTCAACCAATTTCGGGTTACTTGTGCACCAAATGGCTAATATCAGTCCAAATTACCTACTACCTACCGAATTCCGTTTAGAAGTAAGTACTTCAAATTTGGAAAATACAATTTTGAAAATCGGTTCAGATATAGCTGTAGCTCCCGTATATGTATTTCATCCGATTTAGTGTTTAAGTACCTCACATTCGGGTTACTTGTGCACCAAATGGCTAATATCAGTCCAAATTACCTGAATTTTGGCATGACCTACCGAATTCCGTTTAGAAGTAAGTACTTCAAATTTGGAAAATACAATTTTGAAAATCGGTTCAGATATAGCTGTAGCTCACGTATATATATATTTCATCCGATTTAGTGTTTAAGTCCCTCACATTCGTAATATGCATTCGAAAGCAATGACATTTTGTACCCGATATCTTATAGAGCTCGGAAATACCTCTGCCAAATTTTATCAAGATCGGTTCGGATTTGGATATTGCTCCCATATATATTTTCAACCGATTTCGGTTTAATTGTACACCAAATAGCCAATATCTCTCCAAAAGTCAGTCTAGAAGCAAGTACATCAAATTCGGAGAAAATCGGTCCAATATATGTTTCATCCGATTTGCTGTTTAAGTCCCTCGCATTTGTACATTCGACAACAGTAATATTTGGTACCAGATATCTTATAGAGCTCGGAAATATCTTCGTCAAATTCTATCGAGATCGGTTCCAATTTGGATATAGCTCCCACATATAGCTCCTTAATCCGATTACATGTTTATTATGCAAATAATGGCTAAAATCACCAAATGGAGGGAATTGCAGGACGTACGTTTCCATACTTACAAATACTTTCTCTTCAATTATTCATGATCGGAGCAATTCTCTTAAGAGAAATGCTATCTGTGGGAATAGAATTTTCACTCCTGAAAAGTCCTAACAAAAACCTATAATTTTCTTTTTTAGAATCTCATACCCAAGGATCTGCCAAAAGCTCTTCTAACAGATGAAATGCTAATGATTTTAATGGATTATTTTCACACCTGTCATCAACTGATAACAACAATGGATTCAGAAGATTCTAACAATATATCCGAGAAAGTATTTTTCGACACTCTTGGCGGATATTTGAATTTCTATTTAGTTCCTGTGGCAAAATATTCCTACTATGCTGGTTTGTCAAGTTTAAAATCAGTTCAAAATATTCTAAGCTTACATGAACAATGTAAGATTGCCCTCAACACCAATGGTAATGACTGGCAGGAGCCAATGGATGAGGTCTTAAATGAATTGGAAGTCGTGAACATTGAACCATTAAAAATCAATTATAATAATTGTCAATTATCTTGTGAGCATTTGCAACTATCTGAAAATCAAGGTTTAGAAAATGATAAAATGATTGTGGCGTTACCTAAATTAGAAGGAGACGATGAAAGGGGACATCTGGGTAATATATGGCTACCGTTTAGAAGAAAACGTATTTATGATTTGAAATCTTCCGAATCGCCTTATATCGTGGTGGAGTTTTATACAACTCTTCGAAAATGTTATCGCCATGTAGGGATATCACCACGTTTTTACAATCGTGAATTGAAGCAGTGGGTTTTGGAAAATATACAAATTCATTTATCCGATGAAGTGTTTTATCCCGGTTTGGGTGGAATTCTAAGGATTTTAGAATCGATAAGGAGATATCCCAGGACGAAGAATTATAAAACTGAAAAATATCATCATTATGAAGACTATGATGAGCGAGGCGAAAATTCTGTACCAATGGAAATAAGACAAAAGAAAAGTTATATGAGTGGCCGTGAAAGAAAGTCCAAAGAATTCTTAGATATTCTCAAGAAATCCAAACATCAAGAGAGTTATGATCCAAAATTGTGGCCACAGGAGATCTATGATCATTATAATGGAGATTATACCGACTACTTGGAAGAGGAGATAGATACTACCAAGCAAAAACCAAGTGAAATACCCAAAGCAGAGAAAGGGAAAGATAAGGAAATAACAAACGTTTTCTCAAACCAGTTAGAGCAACTAAACACCACACGAGATACTCCCAATAATTCCAAGGATAAATTCAATTTCACTTGGTTGGAATATCCCCCATATGTGATTGCAATTGTCATAGCCATACCGCTTGTGGCTCTAATTTCAGTAGCTGTCGTTTGTTGCCTCAAATTAAGAAAGAAGCAAAAAACCGCAAAAGAACTACGTCTGCGCGGCTACGGTGATCCAAAGAGAAAATCTTCCATTCACAACAATGATGAAGAAACTGAATTACTTAATGCCCAATCGAAATCTGTTGTACCTGGTTATAACAGCAAATCGCTATCACAATCAATGCGCAACAATACACATCATAGAAAATCCAAATATACGAATGTACCAAATAGTACAGGTTCGACGTCATCTTCGTTATCGTGTCAAATACCAACAAGATGTTTTCGAACAAAGCCATCTGGTCCAGCTATCATCGAGACAATGTCCTTAAATTATTCTTCTTCTGATGTTGAAGATACAGCAAATCTATTGAAAACTCCTCCGAAAGCTGTGCGAATTAATGAAAAACCCACAACGTCGGCTGTAACTAAAAATTCTGGCAAATCGGAAAAAAGGAAAGAGGCGGGAAAGACCAAAGATCTATCAAAGAGTAATGTACAAATGTAATATCAAGAAACGGAAGATATTTTATAACCAGAGGTTTCTTTATACTTTCAGAGTAAATCTAGTTGGGAAACGACATTTTCATCGGTCTAGAATTTGGAAAAATATCATTTGTTTGGGAAAAGTATGATGATTTTACACATTTGTATACTCTTAATTTATTTGTTGATATATTTATTTGTTAAAATGTTTAAAACTTTCTTTAAAAAAAGAACAAAGTTCTGCAATAATTTTCAACTTTAAGTAAAAAAAAACATTTCATATGAGTTCAGGCCCCACGGCCTCTCAATCTTCTTCACTCACGTGAATCGGAATTAAACATCTTCTAAAGTGCAAAAGTACATCCTGTATCCTTCGAAATTCCAAAAATCAGGAAATACAGCTATATTAATATTTGGAAATGTTTTATGCGACGGACTTATGCAAAACCAGAAACGCAAGTTACAACTAATTTGGTTGGAAAATGCCTCAGAAACCTATAAAATACTTCAAACCGGAACAAGACAATAAAAGGCAGTTCCATTGGGCCGAACTTTTAATGTCCTCCATCAATTGAAAGTAACACTTTTGTAAATGTGCCTATTGCGAACTTTTAATACCAACTTTTATACCATTTCTTTAAAAATTTTCTGTCAGAGAAGATGGTACCTAATACGAACTGCAAACCTAACTTTTAAACCAACTTTCCGTTAAAAATGGAGCTTAAATCATGAAAATAACAAATATAGGGAGGTAGCGAAATGTGGGGGTATTACGGGGACGTGTATCTATATTAGAAATTTTCTCTCTGAGTAAAATTTTATCAACCGACGTTTATGCTTATTAGGAATATACATACTTTGTGGGGTCTAAAATGTATACTTCGAGGAATTACAAACAGAATGACAAACTTAATATACCCTCCATACTGTGGTGGAGGTTATGATAACAATCAAAATCAAATCTCATAGAAGAAAACATCTTAAATTACTATTAAGAAGGCTGAGAAGGAGAGGAGAGACAAAGACCTGATTTAAACTAGGAATTTCTAGAACGTACAATTTTCTTCGTCTACATACTTCTTACCCCTTAACTTCCTAAACTTGTCTACTCTAAATTCGAACATGGTATCCAGTCATGCCATAGAGAAACATTGCTGCATCCCGCCACAAGAATACTCCTAGCAATATAGTCCTTTACTTTAAAGCGGGGGTGCTAAATTATATAAACCAATGAGCCATATGTGGGACCTTGTTTTGAACAATTGCATACTATCCTCTTCATGACCCTTCACAATTGCCCTCTAAAAATACTCAAGAAAATAAATAACAAAAATTAAAACCCAAAACAAGAAAAATAATGGCCAAATTTTAACAAAAAAAAGAAGTACGCTGTTAGTTTCAACAATTTTTGCTAAATTTCAAATAAATATCATAAAAAGCAACCTACAAAGATTTGACCATTCATTTGAAGCACCGTTGCCACCACCACCACCGAAAACACCAACAAAACCACTTTCACGTGCATGTGGTGCCATAAGCATATTTGTTCTAAAAGCGTGCTCTTGCTCATCGACAAACAGACGACGACCAGCTATAAAATTGTGTAAAGCAAATATACCATTATCCTCGAAAGGGCCACCGCTGCCACTGCCGGCATAGGAGTGACGATCACCAGCCGAGTAGCGTTTATTCTTTTGCGAGTACTGAGAATTGCGGTTGCTACCACCACCACCACCACTGCCAGAAATGACACCCGACGAAGCACTGATGGGTGCTGGAGTGCTGTCAATGTCTTGCAACTCTTTTAGGCATAGCCATTCACCATCGACGGATACCCGAAAGTTGCATAAATAAATGGTGTCTTGGACACCACCAGAAATTTCTTCGCTTGTGGTTGTGCCATGAGAGGGTGGCTTAGATAGGGCTTTGCCAGGTGACGAAGATGAGGTATCAACTTTTCCTGTGGCCACAACTGCAGCTGATGATGACGAATTGTTGTTGTGATGATTATCGCTTTTCTGATTCTGTTGTTGTTGTTGTTTCTGCTGCTGTTGTTGCTTTTGTGGTTGCTGTTTTGCACGTAGTTTCACCCCAGCTGGGGGAGGGCAATTTGTGGTTTTTGTATTACTGTTGGTACTCGTATTTGTTATTGTCGTTTGTTGCTGTTTTTGTTGTTGTTGCATAGCTTTATTAGTAAAGGATGTCTTGGTTGCTGCACTGCACCGTTGTTGAATTTGTAGCTTTTGTTTCAATTGCGTTTGATTTGTCTTGCTGGCACCACTAAGATTGTTTCTTGCAGTTGCCGTTCCAGATGTCCTGTTACTTCTACTGTTGTTTCCTGTTGTTGTAGTCTTGACAATACCACCACCACTGGTACTGGTACTGGTGCTGCTGTTGCTATTATTGTTGTTGTTATTATTATTATTCACACTCAGTTTCTTTGTATCCTCGATCAACGCACGCATATTCACAGCTTTAACTTGCTTTTCATATATTTTTTGTTGCTTCGCAATTCAGTTTCACTGTGGTCCAATTCAATGAGCCAATTTTAATTTGCCTGATCTGAGTATCAGATGTCCGTTTTTGCGTTTTAAAAATATCGCTGATTGAGGATTCTGGGGTGGTATTGTACTATGTAGGTACTTGTTCTTGAAACTTCTGCTTCGTCTTGCTTTTTATTTAGTTTTTCTTTTGTTTTGGGCTAAAAATAGAGAAGCAAAAACATGGTTGGAGGAGCACGGTTGAGAGGTAATAAAATAGAGAATTGATGTCATTTTATGGTCGCACACATTTGGGAAAAATCGAATTAATTGCTGTGCAACTTTACCGTAATAGATGTGATTGCTTTTCCATAACCTTTTCTCCAGCAAATCAAATTTCTTCTTGGAAAATCTTTTCTTTTTTTGTGGTATAATTTTAGGCATTCAATTTTTGCTAATTGAAAATATGCAACTTTTTGGAATGATGAAAATTTGCAACACAAACACCAAACTTAAAGTAACAAACATAAAAACATTTGTTTCGCTTAGATTGCCTTTGAATATTCCACTGCTTCTTTTTTTGTGTAACTTGTACTAAATAATATTTTTATTTTTTTTTTTTTTTTTGCTTTTTTCACCAAAATATGTAACCACCACTTCTTAGACGAGGACTATTTGCTGCTGCTGAATGTACTCATTATTTCTATTCCATCGTATTCATACATCGGGCTTTTGCGAAGTAGTAGATTGACATTTCTTTTATTCGTTTAAATACGACTCTGGTATTTTAATTCAGTGGATGGTGGTGGAATGGCTTGGCAATGGCCCTTTGGTTGTCATTTTAATCGTTTACTTTGACATTTGTGGGGGTGTTTGTTTTTGATGCAGCAGGTTAATTGTCAAATGTTTGTGAGTGCTGTTACTTCAACCACTTTTGGTAGCAGTTAAAGGGGGTTGATTTTGAAGCACATCGTATTGTCACTTTGAAAACATCTGGCAATAGTGGTGGGTGGCAACGTAGCGGTTACAGTGTTGAATTTGAGATAACAGGATATGAAATAACAGTAGGTTTCGAAACTAGATGTTAATGACATAACTTGAATTTATAAAAGTTTGCCAAATGTATAATATAAGTTTACATTTTTATTATTAATACTATGCATACAGAGATATGTATAGATGAACAGAATATTAGAATATGTGAGAGGGTATAAAAGGTGAAATCAGTTATACCCTTGGGAGTCGTCGAGTTTACCAGCCGTCAGACAGACAGGCAATAGGTCAGACTCGAAATGGATGCCGTTCCAACATATCCACTTTGATTTCTTGAACAACAAAGCATTTATTGGCATAATTGAAGGGAAATGGGAAAAATCGGACATCGATATTGACGGCTCTCCAAAAAAAAAAAAAAAAAACCCAAAATTTGCTACTGTGTACAACGCAGTGAACTTGGAGAATTTTGAACCGTCTGATTGTCCCTCAAAGCCAATACTTAGAGGGAATAATACCAACTACGACAATACAGGGTGAGATGAAAAAACTACAACCAACTTGAGACCAGCAGTAATTTCTAAGCCACTCCGACAGCTGTTAAAATTATTGCAGTGACAGCTCATTACATTGTTTACAAGCGTACAAAAGCATTTTGGAGAGTATTTTCCAGAAAAAAAGTTATTCGTTATTGAATTCAATCGTGATAGTGTGATTTCTTTATATTGGTACCATCGCTCGTTACCGTGATACTGGTAGCGTAGCCCAACGTCAAGGAAATGGGCGGAAAAAACAGCAACATAAGCAGAAATGGTTCCAAAAGTTAATAAGCGACTTGATCAAAAGCCGCGTCGCAGTGGCCGAAAAATGGCTCGTGAGCTGAACATATCGCAATATTCCATTCGGCAAATATTGAAAAATGAACTCGGGAGTAAAGCCATTGAAATTTCAAAAAGTGCAAGAACTTACACCGCAACTGAAAGAGAATAGACTCAAGAGAGCTAAAGAGTTACTTCGCTTGGCCGAAAGTGGTGAACTGCCGAATTTGGTTTTCTCCGATGAGGAAACATTCGCTGTCCCGCAGTTTGTAAACAAACAAAATGATCGTGGTTACTTGCTAAAGAGGTCAGCTGAAAATGTGTACCTTCGGTTAGCCACCAGAACTCAAGCGCCGGTCATGGTGATGGTGTGGGCCGCCATAACAGCCGATGGTCGCTCTCCACTCGTATTAATCGACCGTGGCATCAGAATAAATGCCGAATATTATCGCGTGCGCCAAATATTCTGGAGGGGGTACCTTCGACATTCCAACAGCACGCGCCACCCAAGAGTGGTTACAAAATGAGGTTCCTCGCTTCATTTTCAGCGCACAATGGCACAATCCGCTGGACTATTTTGTCTGAAGTGTTTTGGAAAGCAAGGTTGGCACTAAAAAATACCAAAGCGTCGATCACCTCAAGCAAACGCTTCGCCGGGAATGGGCCAAAAATGTCAAAGGTGACCAATTCGAACAAATCTCAACTTAATCTAAAATTTGATGCTATTTCCAACATTATTTGCTTTCATTCAATAAAATTTAAAAAAATGTAAAAATATGGCTATTGACTTTGTTGCAGATTTTTTATGTCACCCTGTATTATGGATAGAAAACGACATTTAGCAGAATTCAGAAATTCAAATGTAGAAATGCAAAATAGACCAATTTTCGCTACCAATACTGGATAGAGTTACACTTAATCTCTCTTCGTGCGCCAAATACCTCGGTACAATCCTGGGCCAGCGTTTAAACTAGAACAAGGACATCAAGGAGCGTAGTAAAACCTGCCTCATCGTAATCTATTCATGTAGGAACCCCATATGGAAGAGCTGGTTCTTAGACCACGAGTCGTACACTGGATGTATGTATGTCACTATCTGGGTGCCTCGTCTGCTATCGAATGCAGGGCATTCATGTCCAAATTAACACGGTGTTTACTGACAACCGGAGCAGAGCACTTTCTCTGAATATTTTGGCTCAACTGCAAGCAACAAGGAATGCGCTGAGACTACGGACATACCAATTAGTCGGAATATGTTAGGTAATAGGAATTCATGTTCACCCTTATCGACTTCAATTACATTGCAGTTGCTGAACCTCAGATGGACGGTCTAGCCATATATATAGACGGCTTCAAGATGGATGAAGGCTCCGGCGCTGGTGTATTCTGCCCTAACTCAATCATTAAACGCTCATATAAGCTTAATGACAATTGCAAATTTGTGCAATAAAGAAAGCTTTGAAAATGGCAAAAGAACTCTGCAATAGCATAACACGGCCAATGACTATATATCCCAATAGCCAAGTGGCCCTCAAAGCTATCAAGCAAAGTGTCATTAAATCGAGCGTCACTCTTGACTCCTTCAAACACGAGGACTGATAAAGCTTTGTTGGGTTCCAGGACATAGCAATATAGTATGGAATGAAGTGGCTAATGAATTAGCTCGAGGAAGTTTAAAGTCGATTAATATATCTGTTGATGAGGCTGTTACACCATCAATAAGCTATTACGTTTAATCTTTATACTTAATCTAATATTAGGACAAATATTGTAATGTACGAACTTTGAAGAGAACTGGAAAATATTTTTCTATTTTATGAGAATTACAATAGAAACTCTAACGATCTTCTCAGAAATCGTTTGCAAATTTGCCAAAGCCAATCCCTTGCTAGCCTCCACCAGCCTCCTGCTTCAGAATGATGATAAGAGAAGGAATTCGCAAGAGAAACATATATTTCTTGCATGTTTTTCAATTTTTCTAAAATTTTCGGTATAAAGTGTTATTGGTCTGTTGTTGTATGGCAATTTAGTCAATTTCTATGGAATGGCGCTTTTTTCACATTCGTATCCTCATATCAAACAGGTCCTATATATTTTCCTTAAAATATTTCAATATACGTAGATAAATTGAATGTTGGAGAATTATTTTCTTTTACAAGCTGCAGTCATGACATCCATTAGAAACAGAAACTGAGGAAGCTACTTAGATGAAGATTTTATTGTTGTCACTTCGGATCCAATAAGCGATTGATTCATGGTATTTTTAAAATTTTTGGCGCGAAAATCGATATGTTTATTTTTTTTTAAACAACTCACAACTTGATGCAAATAGAATGTCAATTTTATCAGAACATTATTTTATGTGTAATATTAGGGTGAAGAATGCGGTAACTCAAGCTTTTTATAAGAAAGATTGTCTAAACATACATTATATCTAATATAAAATAAACGCCAAGGCATATTTGTAAACGAATCCAAATTATAATTTCCCCTTAAATTTAAAAATGATATTCATATTTTAAAAACCCGCATTTTCCAAATGACCTTCATGTGTAAAATACTTTGATCCACATTTGCGCCTTATCACAATAACAAACAGACATACTCGAATATTTAGAATAATTATTTATTATAAATAACTCACAATACCCACCCCTCCTAACAGCAAGACAATGCCCATAGATAGATACTCGGGGAAATAAATTGGAATTCACTCACCGGGCTTTTTTCGTTTGACAGGACTTGAGACTTGTGATGTGGAGGCGGAAGATGCTTCCGATGCTGCACCACCACCAGTTGCCGCCTGATACTGACCCAAAACAGCACCGGAGGCAGCTGAAGCAGCATTTGATACCATAGCACTTAGTTGAGAGGACAAACTTTCCGTACGACGGAATGTATCGCGTAAACGATTTAACGAGGACAACGACGGAGAACTGGGCAATACATTAGCTGCCGATGAATCTGCGCTTTCTTGACGCAACAAAAGCGATCTATTTGTGGACATATTTGTGTCAAGAACTTGTTTGTTATTAAATTGTAGATTTTGCTTTCGGTCTGGACTTTTTGATCCAGTGTAAGGGAAACACAACACAATGTTTTATTTTACTAGATCACTACCCGTATTTTGGATGGAATACCCCGTAAACACAACACACTTGGAAATCTTTCAATTTTTATTGTTATTTTGATTTTGACTTCCCAAAAAAAAAAACACGAAACAGGTTGTAGTTAGGGATACGTAAATCGAAATTGAATACTATGGCTCCAAAGTGGAAATGAGCAATAAATATAAAAGTCAAAACAAAAGCAATGATAGGTCTACAAATGACTGGGTATCAGGGTTCTAAACGCTAGAAAAAAGCTATGATGTTCACCAATTAAACTAGTGGATACAGGCATGTCACCAAATCGTATCGAAATGGTTTTAATTTCATAATTCAAAACCATTCATTTTGTTTTAGCTTCTCAGATTACGTACGATTTGGTGAACTACAAATTCAATTTAAATATGACAACATAATATATCCAATATGGTAACATTAGGGGAAAGAAAGGACGAATGAATGAGGAATCAAAACAAAACACATGATTAGAAACATGTAGAAGTGTAAATATCCTGTTTAAAAGAGTTTTTTTGTGCAAAAAGCAACATTGCAATTGATTCCTCAATTTCACTGAGTACATATTTGTTGAAAGGACCACCACCAGTTTTTGTCTTTTCCCTTTTTTTGTGACACAATTTTTTCACGTACATAGTTTTGTTTATTGTGACACATTTTTAACGTATCTCCAGTCTGACAACGTCTTTTTCCACCCATTTGAATCTTTGGTGGGTGGTCCCGAAGTATTTTGTTTTTCAGTAAGCTGTGACCAACTTGTTTCGGCAACCACTCGATCTGTTTGGTTTTCACAGGTGAATTATTTTTCGTTTGAAAAAAGTGGTTTTCAAAAAAAAAAAATGATGTGGCAACACTT